GATCTTGGAACGTGATATAACAATTTTAGTGCTGTCTCAAAGTCACCGCTCGAGTGCAAAGGGTTAACCCTCGGATGGCGGGTCCGCTTGGACCCAGTGTTATTACTAACATTCCGTCTAAATTCTAATTTTGTCACATGTGATTATTATCTGTTAATATTGAAACTAACAAAAGGATTAACTTTGGCCTCGACGAAGAGCTTTCGATAATATATGCAAATGAGAGTTAATCGTATGGATTTTTGAACGGATCTAGCCGTGGCTGCCATAAATGCTGAAGAATGACACCTGCCGTCCAAACGGCGATAAATCAACAAAACCTTACTTTCATTCTTGGCGTGAATGCAACGGGAAACGTACTTTCCGAAAAGATCTCGATGCCCTGAAATCTGCGGGGGCATTCGGACAAATAATAGGCTGCCAGAAAAGGAACGACGAAAGGAATGTTCGAGGCTACGCTGATTCAGTTAGGCTTGTCGGAAAATCCACAAGTGGTCGAGGAACCTGCTGGCTCATGCTCGGACCGGCTTAGCCCACGGTTCTAATATCATGCGAACGATACCAACGAAAAGTCGACTCGATCTTTCGTACCTGCGTGACAGTCGAGAGAGTAACAGGTAAGAAACGTGTTCGTGCAAACGGTTCGACGAATCGAGGATTGTACGAGGTCGATATATTGGGTTGGCAACTAAGTAATTGCCGATTTCAGTTATAGATGTTTCTCACTCCCATTTTTATGATATCCGTAAATGTTATATTATAAAATTATTATTATTATTATTATGTTATTTTTTATTATCGGTGAATGTTAGCAACTGGACAAATGGAATGCAGCGGTCAAGGAAAAGCGACCAGGATTGGTCAATCGTAAAGGTGTCATTTTCCAGCAGGACAATGCTAGGCCGCACACGTCTTTGTCCACTCGGCAAAAATTGATGGATATTGGTTGGGAATTGATGTTACACCCACCATATAGCCCTGATCTCGCGCCATCGGATTACCACTTATTTCGATCCCTGGACAACTCCCTTCGTGGTAAAACTTTTAACCCTTTGCACTAGAATGGCGACTCTGAGGCGCCACTAAAAATTGGTGTACCATTTTTCAAAATCATTCTAAGAGCATCGGACTCGTTTCTACTTGAAAAGAAACTATTAAAATTGCATTGTACTTGTCAACAGGCTCAATTTCATGTGCATAAGTCGCAATAAATTATATAAAAAAGAACTACTATAGATCAGAAATCATGTTTTGGATTTCGAATTCGAATAGCTTCGACCGCAAAGGCTTAACGATGATGACGCTGTAAAGTCTCACTTAACTCAGTTTTTGGCCGAAAAGGACCAGACTTTCTACGAGCGTGGAATTTTCAAGCTGTCAGAGAGATGGCAAAAGGTCATCGAACAAAATGGAAAATACATTACAGATTAAACTTCGCTCCAAGTAAAAAAGAATTTTTTATTTCATTGAACAAATCGGCAATTACTTAGTTGCCAACCCAATATATTAAGATGATCGGATCAGGATCGATGCATTCAATTAAGGAGAATTTACTGTATTCCAAGCTTGCCTACCGCCAAAGTCCAAGCTATTTTTCGTACGAAGAGAAATGATATACTATAAAGATTTGTTACATCAAATGTAACAAGAAATATTTATATAGTTGCCAACCCAATATTTTAAACATGGAAATACGAACAGGAAGTGTTGCATGAATTTTTAGCATTCGAGTTTGAAAATGTACCACGTTTTAACGGATTCAAGAACGTTGTTAGTCTATAGATTGTAAAATGTAGAAAGTAACATTTCTTTTCTTTCAATTTCTTTCAGTCGAAATATGTAACAGATTTGATTCAAATTTAGCCGCGCACATTTAACACAATAACTACCTAGATACGTGAATCGTATCATTTTTCTACGTTGAATCACTCATTTGTATGCTAATGTATCGAATTTGGATATTAAACCCATTATCAGATTTCATGATGTTTTTATGAAACTCAACGTAATTTATTTGACGAAACAGGAAAGAAAGAAGTCGTTACCATAGGCGATAATATTATACATTTTTTAATATTATTATGTTAGATATATTATCGTTTATATTATGTTAGATCTTACGAAATATATAGTTTAATTTTTAATATATATTTCGTAAAATATAACATAATATAAACGATAATATATCTAACATAATAATATAAAAAAATATATAATATTATCGCCTATATGGTAACGACTCCTTTCTTTCCTGTTTCGTCAAACAAATAACATTGAGTTTCACAAAAACATCACGAAATCTGATAATGGGTTTAATATCCGAGTAAGGGTCGATTCACATCGACGTACTAGACTCGGACCGTGCTCCAAAGCCGACCAAGGCCGAATCACTCTTACATTTGATTTACATTGGAGTGTTCACACTACGCGTGCCAGAACGCCCGGCAATGTTCAAACGTGTTCGAACTTCGTTCAAACCGGCAGGCCCGGACCAGGCTTGCATCGCCAGTAATTAAAACAAAGCGAGACGAAACCCAGAAGTTGGGACTTTCGTCCCAACGTTGCAGGTAATAAACCCGGGAAAGCATTTCGACTTGACAAAGCACGCGAAGAAAGGAATCCGTGAAGGCTAGATCGTGGCTCGACTTCTGGTGACCATCTGTGGGCAACAAATGAGCCGTTTATTTTGAAAGTGACATAAGTCACTTTACCGTAATGAAAAGCGGTGATTTTTTCATGTTTGTACGAAATTATTTATACCGAGAAAAATATCAGCATCCTGAGATAACAAGTACAAGTGAATCTTCTCGAAAGTTAGCATCCATATTTTTAAACGTGTTAGAACGCAAACCCTTAAATATATCGACTTAAAAACAAAGCGACTTATGCCACTTTCAAAATAAACGGCTCGAATGTTGCAAATTTGTAAATCAGCGATAACATTGACATAACCCTGGCATAACTTTGGCATAATTCTGACGTGACTTTGGCATAACCCTGGCAAAACCCTAACATAACTTTGGCATATAACCATGACATAACCCTTCTTTTTTCTTACGTGGAGCAAATCTGCTCGACAATCATTTCGATACGGGGAGTGTTTAAGCTACAAAAATATAAAAATTTCGTGTAGGACGACGTTTTATTGGTTATCTAAAATATTTAAGTTAATATTAATATAAAAGGTATACTTATATATTTTTCATTAAAATCGTTATAATCTTACGAAAATTATATCGTGTTTGGTCTTATTTTAATGAGAAAAAGCTCACAATTGTGTCGGCAAATCCGAACGAGATAAAGTTGAACTCCCGAATCTCGGTCTAAGGCCCTTTAATCTCGAGGTCATCGGTCCTGCCTGGCACCATGCTCACACATCGAACATGAACACTCTCAATCGAGCACGCTGCTAGCACGACCCGATCCTAGCACGTAAATGTGTATCAACCCTAAAGGTCCCCGTGGAAATCGTCTAGCTCCCTCTCTCTCTCTTTCTATGCGGGAAACGAGCAGTCATCGAAAGACCGAACGAAAACACGAAATCGTGTGGCACGAGTTTGAGATCGCAGAAATATTAAAAGCCAGTCGTCGTTCACGATCCGTGGAATCCCGGAGGCCAACAAGTGGCTGCGGGTCCATCATCACGTGGAACACGAGTGCTTCGTGTACGTTTTATGCGCAAAAACTTGGCTGGAACTTACCTTGAAAGTGAATTTTGAAAAGCCGTCCCAATTCTTCGCGATGTTTTCCCGGTTGGTTGACTCGTATTCGAGTTCCGTGACGAAACGGGTTGAATGCACAAAGCGGACGCACTTTTCGTTGAAATGGTCGAAAAGAAAAGAAAAAAACGAACACAAGATTTCAATGTTTCACAGGTTCAACACAACGAAAAAAAAAGACCCGAACCACCCAGTAACATAGTTTTCATGACAACGCGCCTGTACACGACAATGCAACTCTACGGGTCCACGACGAGAGAAAACAATGTACGCGAGTAAACGCGAAAACAAACAACGAACGCACGCTCGACGGTTAGCGAGCGAATGAGATTCTGTTTTCTGTCGCTCCCACCACCAACCGGGAACCGCCAACCGGGCCAATAACCTAGCAGCATTCCCGTGAACATTCTAACGAATCCCGGCGCGGTACTATCGGTAACGTAGAATTATCAGTCTTTACCGAGCGACGATAATAGTGACGATCTATTAGCACAGACGAACTGTAGGACTAGAGATGTAATGATAGATAGAATGAGTTGATAGAACTATAGGACTAGAGATGTAATGATAGAGATCTAATGATAGATAGTGATAGAACTATAGGGTTAGCACAGACGAACTATAGAACTCCGTTCTAGAGATGTCTTATCCGATTCACATCTTTGGTTCGCAATAATTATTCGACATATGCGTTTATTTTATTTATTAAATTATTTATATTTATATTAATATTATTATATTTTATTTATTAAATTATCGTTGCGAGAAAGAAAGTCATTCTTTCGGGTTTCTAAGGCAGCAACCTCCTCGTGATAAGACCTGGGCAATCGGTATTTCAAAATATGTTACAACTTGTAATGTATGTATAACATATATGTACATACTTCTAAGTATGTACATATATGTCTAACTCGGTCATTAACTTCGTATGCAAACGATCCTTCCGATTTTTACTTTGCGAAACATTTGTGATTCTAGATCAATGTAGTTACAAAATTTTACGTTTCTCAAGAAAAACACTAACCTGGACGAAAATCTTTGAAACACGAAAGAGGGCTGCACGACTCTGCGGTTGTATAAATAAAAGAAACTTTCGGTATCGTGGCCGGACAAAAAATATGCGATAGAACTGAAACAAAATACGCGGGATCTGGAAATATAACGGAAACAGAAGTGACGCGCCTTCGCGACACCAACGACATAGAATTTTGCATGGTGGCGCTATCTGTATTAGAAATTTAAATTAATTTTGACTAGAAGTTTCGGCGTTTTGCTACTTACTAATTGGCGCTGTACGGTCCCCTGAACAGAACTTCCAGACTCCGGCGTTTTATCATATACTAATTGGCACTATACGGACCCTGAACGGAGCTTCTTGGTTTTGTCACAAGAAGCGCTACTATTGCCTGAAAGAGATTGATTTTAGCTGGACTCAGCTGAACTTTGCATGGAATTACTTTACTTTTCTTGGAATTACCTATTCTATATATTTGCAATTATAAATCAACTTTTTTTTGCGTGATATAGGCGCAAAAGATTCCCATGAACATTTCTATACACCCAGCGTATCTTTTTACCCTAAATTGGTAAATTTCATGCTATTTTTCGTACGCATATTTAGATCCGCAGAATATGACGGTGATAAAACAGCAAACAATTGGCAGCGGTAAATAAAAAAAGAATTTCTATGCTTTTAAAAACTCTTATTCCATATTTTTCGCTAAAACATCCGTAGAGTTTTACGATAAAAAAAATACCGTTAAAAAAATATGAATTTGAGCGATATTCGATAAAAATAAAAAAATTGAGAACACAGTATTGTAGTATACGATACTTAAATATTATTTGTATGAAAGGACAGGTTTATTTAATCGCTCAAACGATTATCACCGAACCTTCGATCGTTGTATGTACTACATTTAAATCGCGCTAGTAATTAAACAATTATTTAGACTTAGTTTGATCAATATACGAATCTTTGTCGAAATATAGATATGTTAAATGAACTGTTCTGCGCATTTTTCTCATTTTCAATGATATGACTCAAACGTGTGGTACGTTACTATAAGTAACATGTATTAACGTGTAAATGTACATACTTCGTTTCCAAATCACATACATATGTAAAATTATAAATTACTGTTCTGAAACTACTCGATTCACACTCTTTGTCTTTGATTGTATTACTAATTCAGGACACCTTGATACCCCAGCAATGAAAAAATATTATGAATATTTTTCCTTTTATCTTATAGAAACAATAAGTGGAACAAAGTTCCGATAATGTATCAATTTCATTGGTAAAGAAATTACAATGCAGCTATTATAAAAATAAAACTGTATACATACGTCGTTGTATACGTATACATTCTTTAAATACATAAAATATATTTCTATGTACTTTTAGTGCGTATATGTGTCTACATCTAACTATGGCATGCGATGTTGTGTTTCAATAGCCGTTAAAAAATGTGCGTAACTTTCGTCTTCCTTAAAATTTATGGCCAGGATTTTCGTTACCGTGAGTTAGTAACCAGTATCGGGGAACACACAATCAAATAGATAGATATAAATTACACATTGCAGGAAAATGCTTCGGAACGTTACTAAACAACAGGGAGTACAAGAAACGTTAAAAATATTCAACCCAAATGGTTTCCAAGTATAAAAAATTCTATAAACGATTTTCAATAAAACCTATAAAGAACCAAATCTGCGCTATCATATCATATATCATCATCATCATTATCATCTCAAAAATAGATGTACAGCAATTTTCATACGTCTATAAATATGATATTCCACTGTTCGTTCATGATATGCGATAACAAACAACTCATCCCCTCGAAAAAACAATAAATTCAGGCACATTGAAAATATATTACATATTATTTGTTCAATACTTAAACTTAGGGTATCTAGAAAATTTTAGCGACACCATACATGCTTACTTCGTTGCATGGTCGACAATAAAAATGCCTCTTTCTCGTATCGAGTCGTATCGTAAAACCTATATAAAACAGTGATCGTATCTAAATTTAATAATACTTACGCCTCTAATTAAAAATTCTTCAACAAATTCTGATGGAACGACTCCCGCGAAAAGCGTTTTCACTTGTCCCTCCGTCATGTTCCCTTAATTATAAACGTTACATTTTTGGTCCATTGAATATTGCTATCTCTTCGGTTTCCAACTAGTCGTATATCAGCGACAACGAAGATCCGAAAGCATCTTCGATTTCGTAACAAACATAAAAATTTAAAAAAGCGTCTGAAGATAGTCGCTAAGTACTGCGTAAGCGTCGCAGTCTTCTCAAGGTCGCCGAGAGTGCCAGTCAAATAGTAACAGTACTAGGCACTATGTAAAATACTTTACGACCTATTCCCCTCCTATTTTATCGCGTTCAAACATTTAACAAAGACGAAAGCACGCGTTAAGCAAGCTCGTCCGTACACTGTTTCCTCTCCTCCTCAACACGCTGACGAGTACGATTAAATGCTTCAGTTTTCAAGAAATCCACTGTTTTGTACACTGTTGTGTTTGGTGGAGACTGTGTCGGCGGTAGACTTGAGGACGTGAAGTTCTCCGTCGCCTCCAGATCAAGGTCCAAATATTGTAGAACGACGAGGCGTCGATTCGCAGGAATGAACGTATTCTGATCCTGATAGTAATATATCTGGAATATTAAAGTTAACTTATACCGATAAAACACCATTCCAATATATCGAGGATATCGTCGTACACCACGCACCTCCTCCTTATCATCGAAAGCATTATTATCTTCGTCCGATGTTGACTGATGTCGGTTTGAGTGTACATGACTCGGCGGCGTTGGACTAGGTGCTGCTCGAATTCTTCCCCTTCCAGGCGGAGAAGCCAGTTGCAAGGGTCCTGAAATACATTTCAATTTCGTATAAACATCGTGGAACACGAAACTATAGGTTTACTAAAAAAAAAGTTATAATCAAACCGAGCGTACCTTCCACAGGTGACCTATTTAAAGGTGGTTTGAGCTTTCTGTTAATACTCGGCGGTTCAGCGGGCGAATGTTCGGCGGAACTCGTTTCCAGAGCCGGTACAGTTGGGCCTGGAGAAGGCTCGTTGCTAATAATTGACGTAGAATCGCTAGTTTTCCTACCCGGCTTCAGTTCTCGGTAAACGACCGGTGGCGCCGGGGCCGCGGCCGACGGCGCAGAATTCTCACGGACAAGAGGACTTGGTAAATTGGAGTAGGTAGCCGTTGCAGAACTCTCCGAGCGGGGACTCGACGGTTCCTCTTCCTGAAAGTCGTAACGAAACACGCGGGTCTCTTCGACGCTGCTGGGTGCGGCGTTCGAATAAAAATGTTTCGATGACTGATCGATCGCGGCTGGATCGGGTGCTTGTCCAGGTTGGTGAGATCTTGGGAAATCGTAGGATTCGTCGGTGACTATCGCGGTCGCGGGTGTCGATGGCGCGGGAGTAGCCGGTGTTGTTGGTTTCGAACTTTCCGTAGCACCGTCCAGATTTAAATAGTTATGACCAGGATTTTCAGGTAACATGTGCGGAGGTTTCGGTGGTCTGGGAGGTGCTGGTAACTTCTCTACAGCGGGAGGCACAGCGGAGTCGACGATTCTTAGCTTGCCAAAGCGCTTCCGGACACTCCAGGATCCAATCTCGGCGTCGCTCGAGCCTTGCAGTTGCTTCGACTCACCTGGAATGAAGGATTTAATCAGAAGGATTTAACATTTAAATGTATGGTTTTGGAGCAAAGCGTCGGAATGTTTTGTCGAATAATTACCCGAGGAAGGAAATGTTTCCCAGTTAACGCTAGGCACCGGAGCAGTCCATTCATCGTCGGTGAACACACTCTCCGCGTCGGTCGTTGTAGGAGATCTAGGAGGGGAAGGGGCAAGACGTCTTGGAGCATCGTAATGTTCTGGCCCTTGACCGAGAGCCGAACTGAGAGAACTAGTGTCGTTTAGACGACGACCAGAAATGCACTCGCTGATGGGAATGTAAGGACCAGAGATGGTGCTAGTAGGTGAAATAGGTGGGGATTCTTGAGTTTCGAATTGGAACACTGAAAGCAACATTGTAATTTCGGACAGTATTTCAAGTGTAACGGTTAATAGCTCTTTAGTCATTTATAATGGTAGCAATATATACTTTGACATTGCTGCTCTTCATCCTGTGTGTACGCTTTCAAACCACATACTTGACACACCGCATCTACCCACTTGTTCATGTCAGCTTCGCTTTCTGCCACTAAGTAATACGTTCTTTTTGGTGTCTTAACATTGAACATATATTGGTACTTTTGCTTTCTATTCTCAAACCTCAGTCCTGCGTCCACCTATAAATAGATACAAATAAATATTGAGAGAGCGAATAGACACAATATAGATATCTCTAATAAACATTTACCTGTTCGCATTGATCAAGGTCGATACGACCTTTTAGTTTCCTGCACCTTTTGTCCGTAAAGTACTCCAGGAAATATTGACCCGGCAGCTCTCCACTATGTCGTAGGGCAAACCACCTTTTCCTCCATCGCTGTAAGTAGATAGATATTGAGATGAAAAATTTGTGTAGCTATGACATGACACCGTAGTGACATTATAAGGAATCATTGATATGTTAGCATCTGCGTATTTTTAGCGGAGTTGAAGAAAAAAAACAAGGGTCTTATTCTTTGGATAAGGAAGAAAACATTATCGTTTGAACAGACAACGAAGATACGCAAGCTTCGAGGTTAGAATCGATAGAATTCTGATCGGAACGTATCTTAAACACGATAGTTTTGACAACAGTTCTCGAACGTAAACAATGGAAAGTTTTCGAACGGACGGAATTCCCAGTTTGCCATGGTTCCATGGGATACTGACCGCTCGCCAAAGTTTCGTAGGTGGCGATTTAATGAGCCACCCTTCGTGCACTATCTCCTGACTGGTTTTGAGCTCCTCCATTCCTGTCCGCGGTCGGCCACGAACCTTTTAATAATCGTGCATTGTTACGGAGTGCGTGGAACCACCGACAACAAGGATGGCACGCTGCTGCTCGTTCATTTATCTATTTTTGGACGGCGCAGCAGCGATCCCACAGATACACCGACCGTCCACAGAGATCTCACCACACAAAGACGATGCGTAAGCACCAACACAATGACGGTCAGCTCCCATCACTGACTCGGCATCATCAATGACGAGAGAACACCCTCCGATCCCAAGAGCCAGCGAGGAATTAGAGAGGAACACTGAAGCGAGAGACGGTGACACGAAAGAGAGAAGGCCCGACTACCGTGCCACCATTACCACCACCATCACCAATCACCATCTTGACCACGCGTGCCAAGCCATGTCAAGCATCGTGGTGGATGACTGGATGACACACACTTCTCTCTCGGGCTGTGCCCGAACGCTGTTCGTACGAGGATGAGCACATAACCGCGAACCATTATTTTCCTATCGAGCACTGAATCATTATTCAGCGCTACGTTGCCACTCTTCTTGCTAAAATCTGTCTAAATTCTCATACGATTGACCCGTTCCATCTACATACATATGTACGTATCGTACAACACTTCTGGCATCCAAGACGCCTTCCACGATGGCTCCAAAAATGTCTCGCAAACGCAGCATTTACAATGCTTTCACCTTGCATTGTTTGTAAACTATTGCTTTATGAAATTTCATCTTTAATTTATTTGTGGACGATTATAGTCACCACAGAGATGTGTAATATGTAATCTTGTCGCTAGGGACTGACACGAATGTCAGGGTCAATGTAGTTTCCGTACACTAGAGAGATTCCCGAAGAATGCACTGTAAACATACTACCGAGACACAGTATACAAACTTGTTATATTTTGAAAATATAGAATTCGTGAATGAAGTATTAATTCAAGACCAAAATGTGAACGTAAATGGGGTAGGTGTCGATTTACACACGAAAGTATGGACCAAGATAACGATCAAAAATGAATGTACCGAGAGATGGGATAACTTAATTATCTAAGATTAATCGCACATTGAAACATTCTGAAATAAAATGTTAAACCATCTATTGTATTCTACGAAGAACTTTTTAGAGTCACTGTACTTCATAGCATTCTTTCTATGCGCTTCAGAGAAGCTCCCTCTACTTGCCATTGTTATAATTTACTTTTTCTATTCTCCGTATTACGTACGTATTTCGTACTCCCTGTTTTCCAGGTAGTGATTTACCGAGATTAGGTATTACAGCAGCAAAAATGGCGGGTCCCGTTCATTTATCGTGCGTGACGTAATAATGTCGTTATTGTTATTATTATTGAATGCGAAGCAGCTGGTCATTCCTGTCTGCTTGTATCTTCCAAACGAATCTGTGGACATACATCGCTCCTAAGCGGTTCAATAAAGATTCCTCCCTTTGTCTTCTGTTCCGACAGAAGACTTGCACCGACAGAAATTTTACATAATTAATCGAAGGAAGGATTCTCACTTGGCTGTAACTGCATGTACTGGGAAAGCTTGCTAAGTCAGTCGGTTAACAGGTTAAAAGCGATCCAAATGACGCGTCGCTGTACAGTGCAACTGCGCGTGGCAGTCACATTCTGATTCTGATTCGACGCGAACAAAGAAATTCCTGAACAGGAATGCAAACATTGATATTCCCACGAAACGAAAGAATTTAGAAAATTCAACACGGTGTTATAAAGTTTTCTGAAAAATTGTAAATATATTGCATCAGCCGTTTAATCGTGGACGTACTGATTCGTCAAAGCTTTAACAGNTCGAGCACTGAATCATTATTCAGCGCTACGTTGCCACTCTTCTTGCTAAAATCTGTCTAAATTCTCATACGATTGACCCGTTCCATCTACATACATATGTACGTATCGTACAACACTTCTGGCATCCAAGACGCCTTCCACGATGGCTCCAAAAATGTCTCGCAAACGCAGCATTTACAATGCTTTCACCTTGCATTGTTTGTAAACTATTGCTTTATGAAATTTCATCTTTAATTTATTTGTGGACGATTATAGTCACCACAGAGATGTGTAATATGTAATCTTGTCGCTAGGGACTGACACGAATGTCAGGGTCAATGTAGTTTCCGTACACTAGAGAGATTCCCGAAGAATGCACTGTAAACATACTACCGAGACACAGTATACAAACTTGTTATATTTTGAAAATATAGAATTCGTGAATGAAGTATTAATTCAAGACCAAAATGTGAACGTAAATGGGGTAGGTGTCGATTTACACACGAAAGTATGGACCAAGATAACGATCAAAAATGAATGTACCGAGAGATGGGATAACTTAATTATCTAAGATTAATCGCACATTGAAACATTCTGAAATAAAATGTTAAACCATCTATTGTATTCTACGAAGAACTTTTTAGAGTCACTGTACTTCATAGCATTCTTTCTATGCGCTTCAGAGAAGCTCCCTCTACTTGCCATTGTTATAATTTACTTTTTCTATTCTCCGTATTACGTACGTATTTCGTACTCCCTGTTTTCCAGGTAGTGATTTACCGAGATTAGGTATTACAGCAGCAAAAATGGCGGGTCCCGTTCATTTATCGTGCGTGACGTAATAATGTCGTTATTGTTATTATTATTGAATGCGAAGCAGCTGGTCATTCCTGTCTGCTTGTATCTTCCAAACGAATCTGTGGACATACATCGCTCCTAAGCGGTTCAATAAAGATTCCTCCCTTTGTCTTCTGTTCCGACAGAAGACTTGCACCGACAGAAATTTTACATAATTAATCGAAGGAAGGATTCTCACTTGGCTGTAACTGCATGTACTGGGAAAGCTTGCTAAGTCAGTCGGTTAACAGGTTAAAAGCGATCCAAATGACGCGTCGCTGTACAGTGCAACTGCGCGTGGCAGTCACATTCTGATTCTGATTCGACGCGAACAAAGAAATTCCTGAACAGGAATGCAAACATTGATATTCCCACGAAACGAAAGAATTTAGAAAATTCAACACGGTGTTATAAAGTTTTCTGAAAAATTGTAAATATATTGCATCAGCCGTTTAATCGTGGACGTACTGATTCGTCAAAGCTTTAACAGAGAGAGAGAGAGAGAGAGAGAGATGGATGATGGCTTATAAAAATCTCTTCTCTCAGAGTAAATAGCGAATTATTATGTTCTCGCGAATCGTCTGTTACAATATGCAGGTTACAGAATCGCTTGGTATTCTAGATATTTCGATCAGCCAGTGCACTCTGACGGAGAGAGCTGACTGCGAGCGTCGCGCTGCACTGTTTCACGATACTCCGAAAAATTAGTAATACAACTAGTTCACGCGAATGCGTCAGTATCCCCTTCTGCGAGATAATGACTAATAGCACCCTACAACACCCATTTCGCATAATTATCAAAGTCGAATTCTCATCTCTAAGAATTTATCATGTCCTAAATTAGGTTCATAGCAGATTTAATGCTTATCGATTTTGATTACAATTTTGCAAACGATCGGCGATCGCACGATTCATCGAATGCTCGTCGACAAGTCAGCTTTATAATTAAACGAATATAGGGCGAATAAACGCTCCGAATAAACGAAAAATGCAGTTGCCAAGACGAAGCACGCTACGTTCTCCGTATCGGCCGAGTTTATTTGTGTCGACGATTACTGACAAACCGGCACTGTCTCGTTTCATTACGTGTCGCAACGATTATCTGTTCAGCAATCGGCCGGGCACGATGTCGTTGCTCCGCCAGAGATCGGCAAATGAACGTTCAAACACGAAATCGTGAACAAAATCGCGCGAGACCCGACGGCGAAACGAAGGACAGACAAAGCCCGGGATATATGCCCTGGTTAATTTGCAATTCAATGCTTAACGCGGTAGAGACGCCGATCGATATTTAAACCTAGCCTTCACTCGCGATTAGCGATGTTCTTTCGCGGCGCGGCCTTCTCGACGGGAAAAACCAACTTGCACGTTGTTGCGGAAAGCGCGATAAAGCGCGCTATTGACTTTTTCACGCGTTCGTAAATCACCCGCGATTACTGTACCGGCCGTAAAATTTTCATTATTCCTCACTGCTTTCATTCCTGTTTGTAAACTCGAGTTTCGTGCTTTCCGGTTTGCTTCAATTCTTACCATAAAATCATGACAACGATTCTCAAACTGGCTGGCATAATCATCCTCGTGTCGCTTTCGAACAAAGAACAAGTTCGCGAAGCAAACGAACAGAGAAACGGCCACCGAACAAATACAAGCTCGTAGTCGAATAATCCATAAATCGTTTATTAAATATTTTTCGCTTGTTTTCTATACAATTCCGTTACGAGGGCAATATGTCGGTGTCGCAAACCAGTCGCTAGGGACGCGTGTCGGTGGGGGGGGGAGTTTTCGGTACAAATTTGCGGCGAACATCGAGCGAACATCCTGCGGGCAACAGGACGCGGACCAACGTTGTTTGTTTTACAGAAATAATTCGACGCGGACCCACCAATGGAATGTGCCTCGCTGTCTCGGTGGCCCCGCGTCGATATGGTACAAAAAGGAGCCGCGGGGAATCATTTACAGGACGATCACAATTCTTGTCGGAACATTTAATATATAAAAAAGAAAAAAAATCGAATGAGTTCGATATACAGAGAGCGGTCCCGGGAGGCGAAGTGCCGAGGTCGCGGTCGCGGGACAGGCTGATTCCCTCGATCGAAAATAAGCGGGAAAACGCTGGCGTGGAAAACGATCGCTCTGCTTTATTTTCGGGCGGGGAGTCATGGGGATCGTCGCCGGCCGTGGCGCGGATCGCGGAATACGTGCTCTCGTTAGCTTCATCTTTGGACGAAATATTGCGCCGCTCCGCGTGTGCTCGAAACGTCCGAGGAAATCGGTTTCGAGGCGGCGCGAGCTGCGCCACCACCCTCTCGCCACTTTTATAAAAGGAATCTGCTCTCTTTCTCTTTGTCTCGCAGCCCGCTATTCGCTGCAACGTATCTACATATACACGTCTATGTATACATTGAGCTTTCCGCGGCGGAGGTGCGGTCCTCCGCGTCGTTAATTATACATACAGCGTGTCCCGTTAATTAGGGCGCAGCTCGAAAGGGGTCGATCGCTTCTGCGGAAGCAACCCCGAGACGAGGCTCTTGCTTTCGCGGACTGCGCGGCATCTGCGATTGTTTTTGCAGTTGTCGCGAATCGATATCGACGAGATCGCGAACTTTCCTACCGAACGAATTAGCAACGTTTCGTGCAATATTTCGCATATCGATTCGCGACGTTGGTACCGGAGTGGTTCGAGTTAACCCTTGGCGTACAAAATGCGCCGATTTTCACGAAGAAAATGAATTCCTTGGCTCGTCGAGCCAAGGGAGAACGGCTGACCGAACAGATCTCGTTCGTTATCGTCCATTTACTTTGGCAGAAGGAATTCCATCCCCTTTCGAGTCCCGCTGCGCGAACACTCCGCATTGTTTCCAGTGCACGTGTGTCGCACATGTGTACACAATGGGCTTACAGAGTACGCGCGCGTGCACGTAGAAATGTGTTGCGCGAACGTGCGTGTAGGTCAACGGGGACTCTGAACTTCCTCTTTTCGTCATCCGTCCCGTGTATCGCGTCCAAGGATTCGTCGTCGCGACCGATAACGCCGATAAGACAATCTCGCGGACTTCGGACAACGTCGACGAGGGCCGGGACCACCCGGGAAATCCGTGGAAATCTTCTCCGGCCTGCGGCCCGACCGAACGATACCGTCGCGATACGACGAGGAGGATCAGATTCCGATGCGTGCACGGCTGCGGCGGGTCGGAAACGACGCGGCTCCGCCTCGTTCCGACGGTCGATACAGTGTTCAAGCAACCCATTCG